ATTCTAATACTATCCTTTTTTTAAATATGGTTTATGGCATTTAGTAGCAATGTCTTAATCGCTTTATAAAACTCACACTTTAAATGTCTCAAATGCTTTCTTTTCAGAACTACATTTCGTAAATGTTCAATATATTTGTAGCAAGTCCTAACCCCGATTTTGCTAGTTTCCGTCTTCAAAGATTAAATGTACCATTCTCTTTTTATCCCTAGAAATTTTCACGCCAATCTTATAACATCTAAAATTCCTGCATTCAGTAAATTTTAAATATTTCGCAAATGCTTACTTTTCATATATATCAACTGCACACAGAATCCTCATTTCTGACAAATCCTAAACGTTTTTACCCATTTCAGATGATTTTAAATACCACATAATTGTCCTCTTTTCACTTTTAGAGATGCCTAAACTTTTATCGTAGCAATATCCAACATTGATTTGTCTTCTAGAATCTCCTTTTTCAGCAGATTTTAGATACCACATCATTGCTCTCTTTTCATTTTTAGAAATGCCCAGACCTTCATTATAACAATATCCAACATTTAATTGTCCTCTAGGATCTCCGTTTTCTGCTGACTTTAAATACCACTCAAATGCTTTCTTTTTATCTTCAGAAACGCCCGCGCCCTCATAATAACAGCTACCAACATTCAATTGCCCAGAAGAATCTCCACTTTTAGCAGATTTTAAATACCATTCAAATGCCTTCTTCTTATCTTTAGAAATGCCTATACCCTTATCGTAATAAAGCCCAATAATAAATTGTCCTTTAGAATGTCCATTTTTAGCAGATTTTAAATACCATTCAAATGCCTTCTTTTTATTTTTAACAATGCCTATTCCTTTATCATAGCAGTACCCAGCACTGAATTGTCCTCTGGAATCTCCATTTTCTGCAGATTTTAAATACCATTCAAACGCCTTCTTTTCGTCTTTAGAAACGCATATTCCATTTTGGTAATAACTTCCAATATTGAATTGTGCTCTGGAATCTCCACCTTCGGCAGATTTTAGATACCATTTAAATGCTTGCTTTTCATCTTTAGAAGTGCATATGCCCTTATCATAGTAGAGTCCAATAATGAATTGTCCTTTGGAATTCCCACTTTCGGCGGATTTTAGGTACCACTCAAATGCCTTTTCTTCACTTTTACCAATTCCTACACCATAATCGTAGCAATATCCAACATTGAATTGTCCTCTGGAATCTCCATTTACAGCTGATTTTAAATACCATTCGAATGCCCTCATTTCATCTTTAAAAATGCCTATACCATTATAATAGCAATTGCCAACATTTAATTGCCCATGAGGATTCCCACTTTCTGCAGACTTCAAATACCATTCGAATGCCTTCTTTTCATCTTTAATAGTGCCTAAACCACTTTGAAAACAATATCCAATATTGAATTGTCCTTTAGAATATCCACTTTCAGCAGATTTTAAATACCATTCAAATGCTTTATTACTATTTTTAAAAACGAATATACCTTTATCGTAGAAATATCCAATATTGAATTGACCTCTGAAATCGCCTGCTTCAGCAGACTTTAAATACCATTCAAATGCCTTCCTATGGTCTTTAGAAATGACCATGCCTATATAATAACAATTACCAACATTTAACTGCCCATCGGAATCCCCTCCTTCAGCAGATTTTAAATACCACTCAAATGCCTTATTATGATCTTTAGAAATACCTATGCCATTTTGATAACAATTCCCAACATTTAATTGTCCTCTGGGATTTCCACCTTGTGCAGATTTCAAATACCATTGAAATGCCATCATTTCATCTTTAGAAATACCTGTACCACTTTCGTAGCAAGCTCCAACCATTAATTGTCCATTAGGATTTCCACTTTTAGCAGATTTCAAGTACCACTTGAATGCTTTTTCTTCATTTATAGGAATTCCCAGACCATTTCGATAACAAAACCCAACATGGAATTGTCCTCTGGAATCTCCACCTTCTGCTGACTTTAAATACCATTCAAATGCTTTCTGTTCATCTCTGGAAACGCATATACCCATGTCATAATACGTGCCAACTTTAAATTGCGCGTATGAATTCCCATCTTGAGCAGATTCTAAATATTGTTCAAATGACATCTTTACCGTAAAGTAATCAAAAGTGTTCGATTAATTTAAGTATACGTGAAGGGATAAAGTAATGAGAGAATAAAGTAAGTATTCGTGATTGATTCGTGATTGTTTTTTTGTAGAGAAAACAATTTTAAAAATTTTTAATGTTGCCTCAAGTAAGTATTCGTGATTGTTTTTCGTAGCGACAATTTTAAAAATTTTAATGTTTTCAATACAATAAAAAATATGGATACTCTAACTCCATGACCGTGCTGGATATTTATAGTAAAATTTTGAATTCTGGAATTACACTTATCAAGTCATATTTGTGATTTTCGAATTTGCTTTTCAATACCGCATGATATAGTCATACATCTTTTATTGTAATAGTAAAAATTTTAATTGACAATCAAAGATCGATGATTAGATGAATGTTTTGCCAATTTTTTTTATGATCTAAGCTAATTAAGTTTAGACGATCAATGTTGAATTTGCAAAGCATGAATTACTTGTGCATGGATAATCCGATTTTCCTCCGAACCATCTGTTAATTAGATCAGCATATCATATGAAATCGTCATACGAATATGATACAGTTATAGAAATTAATTCGGATAATTGAATATGACAATATATGTGCATATATAATAAATTTTATATAACGATAGCATTGGATTGCGTCTAAATTTATCAAAGAGATGGACATACATAGTTCAAATGCAAACATTGTAAATAATCGGTTCGATTAAACGTGTACTAATTACAGCAAACTTCTGGCACTGTTTAGCTAACGGTTAATGTTTACAAAGCCGAACCTGTCATGTGGCTCTGCAAACCAGAACTAAACAGCGTCTAAAATTCAATTTTATTTTAATATGCTGAAAAATTAAATAATTTTTGTAATTACAAAAAAAAAACTATATATAGGTTTTTAAACACCAGAGCTTTGTTGTTTATGAACAGAAAACTTTGAGCCGAGTCGAGCTATTACTTTTTGGCTGCTCCAAGCCACTAATCTTAGATGATTTTCAAATCAATAATTTAAATTTCAAATTCTAGATTTGAGATATAGATCTTGAAGATAACGATGCTAGATTATTCACGTGGTCTTATGATATAAAATGTCACCACAAAATAAATATTAACGTTAAACAATGCCCCAAAATAATACCCACCGTAATTATAGGACTTGGGATAAGACTACATTGATTTACCACTTTTATTTAATTTCTTACCACAATACTGCAATATAGTAGTATACATTTTATTACATGGCTATAATAAGTTACCGGGTAAAAAATTTTTTTGACGGGTAAAATCTCTATATAGTACTGTATCCGGATCTTCATACAGTATCCAGGGATATTATTCAATTTTAATATAGAGTTCTTGAATAAGACCCTGGGTGCCGAAAGTAGTGGGTAGCAGTACTTGCTTATAATGATCTTTTTTTAAAATTTATGTAGAAAATTAGTTTACCATTATAACTACGAATAACAGCCAGTAATTTTTTGTAAACTATCCAACAAATAGCTAAAAATTCAGAGCCAAATCCTCTTTAACAATTATTGTCATTAAATTATTTATATTGTGTGATTCTAATAAAATTTACGTGTAAGAATCATTTACCTAGTGCTAAATGAATTTACTTGAATAATTAAACTTCTTATGCCCAAAATTTACTTCTATAGATCCACCTTGCGATATTCCAACACGCGGATAAACATCATCTTTTAAATCATCAGGTAGATAGAATATAATTCTTCAAAATATTTTATAAATATAAATTATCCAATTGCTTTAAAATTGGTACAACTAAATTTTTAAAGTTTAATTATCTAGACTTACCCCATTCTTAGTATAAAATATCCTCTTATTTCTAAAATTTAGATAGTACTCAATAGTATCACGGACGATGTATGACGGCTCATATGGCTCGCCATTTCCAGATTAAAAACGAATATCCATCATCGCTACGTTAAGCCTATGAATTATTTTTCTATCCCAAGTATATTACTGTTACCAGGCATGGGTGTGATATCTGAATTGTATATTTTTGCAGGTTGATTTTGTACAAAATCTGACACCAATTGTTCTTTTAAATATAAAAGCAAAATTATAAACAATAAATTTAAAGAATAATTGTTTAAACGATAAATTATTACACATTTTTCCCTTTATCTATAAACGTAACTTCAAAGTAAAACAGACCATCCTGTGGAAGAATAGGATTACTTGTAGCACAAATTCCACAATCATCAGGTCCTTTTTATTTGAAAAACTAGAGTATGGTCATGCAGGGCAGCTTCGTTGCAGCCCTGCTAGATGTGTTCTTTATTATCAAAGTGTGCGTTGTTAACTACCAAATTTCAATACAATACAGTGTTGGCACATGACCTTAAATGACCAATATGACCTTTATGACCTATATGACTATTTGGTCATAATAAAACTTAATATGACTTATGACCTTTAATATAATAAAATAACATAGTAGGTTTTTATTATAATTGGCGAATTTTTAAAGATTATTTTATATTATTGCAAAATATGATTGTTAATTTATAACTAAAAAATTAATTAAAATAAAGATATTTATATTAAGAGTTTTAAAATTATAAGCCTAATACGTATAAACAAAATTTTATAAACTAAAATTTTATTAAATAAATATATAAATGCGAATAAAAAATAAATAAATAAACTAAAATATTTGTAACTTTAAATCTATTTTTGTAGTAGCAAATAATTACTTATAGCAATTTATTAAATTTAATATAACTAAAACGTTACATTATTTATATTGTAATATATATTGAATAGTAAAAAAAAAATAAAATTTAAACTATTTATAAAAAAAAATATATTTAATATGGCGAAAATTCTAAATTTGATTTAAATAAAATATTCAAAGGCTATTTAGCATTTCTATTATCAGCTGGATGAGTTATTTCATTTAATTCGCTACTTTCTTGTTCTTCATTTATATTTTCTTGTTCACTTATAGCTGACCATTCATCAATTAATATATTCCATTGTTCTTCTTCTTCCGTAATAAGGTTATTGTTATCTTCTGTAATAAGTTCGTTATTATCTTTTAGATCATTATTTTTTATATAATCATTTAATTCATAGTTAATAAGTTCATTTTCAGTATTATTTAATTCTTGGGTATTTTCTGAATCTAATAGTTCTTCTTGAGTAATTGG